TAAATGTACAATACACCTCGGGGAGTCTTTCTGCCTTTAATCCCTAATGGGTTAATTAAAGGTTTAAATGTGAACTCGTATGTAACTAGGAAGATATTTTATTATATTTTATCACCTCGTGTCTGCTAACCCAGATACGTGTAATCGTACTAAAGTTAACGCAAACCGAAAAGATATATTATTATATTTTATCACCTCGTGTCTGCTAACCCTGTTGGATTAGTGTCTAAGTCCGTAACTATATTTGGTATGTACTTGACCCGAGTGTGCATTGTCCTTTTGGGTTGCCTTCACCAAAGCAACTTGACAAGGTAATTTGATATGAGAGAGAAGATATTATGGTTTATTAATATATTATAAGAATAATATATTAAAGGAGAAATCATATTTATTTAATTAGTATTAGTCATAAATTAATTAGGAATTAATTTGGTGACTAAAAGAGATTAATTAAATAAAGGGGTATAAACTGTCAAATGTGTGATAGTTGAGTTTTTGGGCTGGGAACCTAATGGACTAAGGGGGAACGAAATTATGATGAGGGATCATCATATTTTCGTCCAAGGGCCTCATTCCAGAAGGTTCCTTGGGCTGCTTGGTGGCTAAGCTATCCATTAGGGTTTAGACTGAAACCCTAGCACCCTACAGTATAAATAGATGCCCTATGCTTCAATTTTAGGCCACTTGATTCCAAGGGAAACCCTAGGGCCGAAATTAGCATCCTTCCTCTCTCTCTCTTAATTGCCTTCTTGCTTCAAGGTGTTTGTGAGCCATTAGAGGCACTACAATTGTGGTGCTTGCTTTCAAGAGTTCAAGAGATCAAGGAAACTAGTTGTTATATTGCAATAACAACAAAGGTATGTCTACTACACTTCTATAATTTTCGAAAATTATAAGCATGCTAGGGTTTTATTTTTTGTGTTCATATAGTTGTATGTCTTATAGTGAAAACATAGATCCAATTAGGGTTGCATGCACACATAGGATTGTTTGTATAAAACCTATCAGTGGTATCAGAGCCTTTGGTTTTTGTTTTCAATTTGATTTGATACATATTATGAATTTGACAAATTAGGGTTTATGGCAAGTAAACCCTAAGGCTTGGTGTTTTTCGAAAATAGGGTTAAGAACCCTAGTTGGCGATTTTTGTAGGGTTCTTAAACCTTTTTTGCCTAGCCTCCAAATTTCGAAATTAGGGTTATGAAACCCTAGGGATTTCGAAAATCCCTTGCCCCCCAAGACAAGATCCCAAAATTTAGGGATTTGGATAATGCCATCTTTGTGATTATCAACTTAATTGTTTAAACTAGATAATTGAAGATCTTGAATTATCCTTTCCATAAATTTCGAAATCTAGGGGATAAAAAGGATTAGGATAATTAATTGTTTAATTTTATGATAATCCTTCATGATTTAATAATTTAAATTAATTGTTTAATTTTGATAATTATTAAATCAAAGATTTTTGGTGTTAAAATTTTAAATTAAATTGTCTAATTTTCGAAAATTTTAAATGCAACAAAGACACTAGTATTTTAAAATGTTTTAAAATACACCCTTATACAATTATGATATTATAAGATTAATTATTATATATATGTATAAGAATAAGCTAGTCTTATCGCTAGTAGGCCTCATTCACGAAGCCAGTCTATAAGGTGGGTATAAGGTTGCTGCCTATAAAATGGCGCTTAATGGATGTACACTCACATCTACCGCTTGCTTGACTGGTGGAGGGTCGTTAGCCGAACGGATAGGATAGGGCACTTAATTCCTCATTATAAGTATAATGGAAATATTAAAGTAACTACATTGTTTTACAAATTCCCACTCTTAGTTACTTTAGGGTAAAATGTGAAAATGATGCTATTCCATGGAATTACACTTTGTACCCCTGTCAAACGTTAGTGGAGCGTGCGTGGTTAACCAGCACACTAATTTGGGATTGACATTGGTGACAAAGGGTGGCTCGATGTCTTATCATAGATCAATGGAGCGTGCGTGGCTAACCAGCACATTGATTAGGTGATGAAGACATTGAGTGCACCATGATGATTCGCATGGTTATTCACAAACTTGTTTGCGATCCTCGGCATCCCAGTCGCAAATTTGAAGTGCATATCGAGATTTAAACATGCCATTGAAATGTTCAATGAATCTCAAAAGAAATCTAGGAATTTTCAAATACATTTAAAACTTAACCTCTTTCGTTTTTCATGGTGAAAATTAGTGAATCGTCATTCACTTACCTTCAAATTATTTACTTTTAGATTACGGCATCCCTTTTCTAAGTTGTAAATAATGTTGTTGGATCCTAGCCCTAATTTCTCATGTGGGTGTTTAATTAGGGATTCATTCTAATCAAACTTTGTTCCTTTCTATTTCAGATGTCAAACGCAAACGCAAATAACAACACTTCTGGTCATTCTCGTTGATGAACCTGTGTCAAAAAGTGACATTTGATGGCTCGAACTTTAACGAGTGGATGAGATACATTCGCATGATAACTCGTTATGAGGACAAAGAATATGTCCTAGACGAGAAGCTTGAAAGGATCAACCCAGAAGAAGCTACTCCTGAAGAGATGGCCGCCTTTGAGGCCCACGAGCGTGATGCAACGAAAGTTCATTGCATCATGTTGGCCACCATGAACCTCGAACTCCCAAAAGTCCTATGAGGACATGTATCCATATGAGATGCATCAAGATTTGCTGGACAGGTACCACCAGAGCGCGAGGCAAGAG